GTTTTCGTTTTCCTTAGGGAAAGCCGTTTTATTTGCCTGCTCTTGCCTTATGGCTTCTTCTGAAGTTTTAGGGTCAGAAAGTTCAACCATGTTGATATTCATTGTATCCTTAGTAGCAAGAGTGAGTTGTTTCATTTGTGTCTCCAGATTCTCCGTCTGGCCTTGTACAATGGCCAATTGGGAACTGGGCTTTAGTCCAGTTTTTTGTGCTTCATCAGTCTTCGACTTTGGATCTTCGACCGCTTTCTGGACAGCCTCAATTGTCTTCCTGGATAAGTTTCCAGAAAAACTGCCAAAGATTGGCATGTTGATGTGGTCCTTAGAGACTTCGACCATGTTAATGCCTGGCTTCTTCGACTGGATCTTGGTAGCCTCTATCATGTTCACCTCAGAGGGTTCTGCATAGTGGGCTTCAGCCTTCACTGGATTGGAGTCGACAGCCATGGGGGATTTGTCAGCAAACTTTAATCTCCCTTCCTCAATAGCGTCTTGCACAAGATTCCTGAAAAGAAAACATTGAGAAGTTTTATGGCCCAGAAAATTATGATATTTGCAAAAACCTCTCTTCTTTCTTTGATCAAGAGGAGGCACTTTTACCCCAGGGGGTACTATCATTTGGCCATCTTTAACTAGTAAGTCGAATATTTCATCACATTTTGTGATGTCAAAACTATAAGTCTTTTTTGGGAACCTATCATTGGTCTTGTCTGGACCAATGGGATTTTTCCCATTTGAGGGGACTAACTGTTTACAAGAGTATGGAGGCCCTTGTTTTAGTTCTGCTAAATCGACTTCTCCTTCTTCGACAGCTAAAGTATCGTCGAAGGATTCTAGATCTTCGTCGTCCATCTCAACATAAGCTATTCTTTCTCTCTTGTGAGATTTCGTTGCCTTAGCTTTCTCAGCTTTGAGGCGTTCGACTTGTCGAACTCTATCGGCCAGTTGGGCCATGTCTCTTAGGTACTGGGTATCTAGCTTCTTCCTAATGGAATAGTCTAAACCGCCTGCGGCCATTTCGACCAGCTCATGTTCTGGCACTTGTGTGAAACATCTCGCCTTAAGCAACCTAAACCTATTCAGATATTCGTCTATAGGTTCAGTGAAACGTCTCTTCACACTCGCCAGTTCTTTCAGGCTTATCTTGGTTTGCCCCATATAGAATTGTTCATGGAACAATCTTTCCAATTGGGTCCAATGGTGGATCGAATTGGGGGGTAGAGTTGTAAACCAAGTAAAAGCGTTCTTGGTTAAGGAACTTGGGAAGTATTTGATCCTTAGGTTTTCATTATTTGAAATGTCTCCTGCTTCGATCAAATACCTTGCCACATGTTCGACAGTAGATTCTGTCGTGTCCCCAGAGAATTTAGTAAATTTGGGAACTTTGGTTCTAGGAGGTAAGTCAGTTTGTAACACATATTCTGACAAAGGAGAAGTAAAGTTGGGCCTTCGAAAGCCCATGTTCATCCCATTCTGAGTCATGATCCTTTCGATCATGGTTGCCAGATTATTTTCCAAACCCATGTTTTGGTGTTGGATATGCTGAACCACTTCGTCAGCATTTTGGTTTCTGTTCACTAGCCTTACCTCTGGGGCTATTACCCTAGGTTCTTCGACAGGTTGTTCTACAGGCTGTTGGGCCTGATTAATGGTGGTTTCTTCCTCTACAAATATCCCTTGATTTCCTCTCATTTGCGCCCTTTGGGGCTGTCGAATAGGTGGGGGTACTCCAAAGAAGTCAGCCAAACGCGTCATTTGCGCTGTAACTTGCTGATTCGACTGAGTAGTATTTTGTATTAGAGGATTTAGCACTGTACTCAAAGTTTGTGCCAACATTTGCACCATATCATGGTTGCTTTCGTCCATCTGTTGCCTCAAGACTGCTGTCGAGGCATTTGTAAGGCCATGGGCTACTTGGGACGTTCCTCCTAAGAGTTGGGTCCTATTTCTATTCGCCATGCCTACTCCAGAGCCTTGGAGTGGCGAAGTGGCACTCACGAAAGGTTCTGAATAAGTGGACGCAACATTCGTCAGGCTTGCCAGTTCAGAAGTTGGCATACCATAGAATGGAATAAATCCTGGGGGAACCACTGGCCTTGGGCCAGTATTTCCCCTTGGAGGGGGGGTTCCCAAAGGCATTCTGGGGCCTGTTAACGAAGTTATTGGCCCCGTGGTTGTGACTGACACTGCTGGCATCGAACCAACATTCGTCGCTTCACTAACGGTCATATTAACCGTTGCTCCCACACTTGGTGGTGGAATTTCATTATTGTTTGGCGGATTCGCCATCTCTTCCCTTCTTCTGGCAGTATTATTATCGTTGGTGTATATTCTACCACTCCTCAATAACATACAACTCGAAAAGATGAGATTTTTTTTCAACAATCAACACACAGTCCCATCAGGTGTGCCAATTTGTTTACCTGGGGATTTGGTAAACAACCGCTGATCCTCCAAATGGTTACTTATTTGGTTACTCGCAGGATCGATCAGATTGATCCTATGGACATAGGTTGATTTTGAAGTTTAATTAATGTGGATAAGGCTTTAAGTAAATTGTTTAAAGTAAATTGCATAAAGGAAAAGGCTTGGTAAAATAACAAGGCTTGAATGTAAAGGTTCGACAGGAATCTTAAAGGGAAAAAGCATGTAAAATACTGGAAAAGTAAATGACTTGAATTGATAAACTTGGTGTTTCACACATACATTTCTCAACAATTCGTTCGCTCACACTGGGTACTTGAATCTAAATGAGTGACTATGTATTTATTGTGAACACACGCGAGAAACTACACGTCTACTCCTATTTATACAAAAACATTCCAAGTAACCGTCGGGCAGTTACACTGCTTCGAGATCAAGCCACTTGTCACGTTCTCCATGCTCGACGCTCCAGATCCTTGCACGTTCGCACGTAGTAACTGCTGGAAACCGTTTTCCCTCCAAAGCTTTGAATTTCAAACTGCTCCACTCTGGACCATCGAATACGTTCGTCAAGAGACGTCTTCGACGAAACTTCTTCGACGTCGAAGGCAATCAGCCTTCTTCCTTGGAAGAAATCTTCTAAGTATTTTGCCATCTTTCGACAGGCACTTCGACAGGCTTAGCCAGTCGAAAGCATCTTTCAGCTTTTCATGGCTGCCATCAATTAAAACAAAGATGTCGAATTTAGGAGCCAACAACGTGCCAAGTGGATTGATCTCGAAGCAGTGTAACTGCCCGACGGTTACTTGGAATGTTTTAGTATAAATAGGAGTAGACATGTAGTTTCTCGCGTGTGTTCACTATTCCATACAAAGTCACTCATTTAGATTCAAGCACCCAGCGTGTGAGAAAGAATTGTTGAGAAATGTATGTGTGAAACACCAATTTTATCAATTAAAGTCATTTACTTTCCCAGAATTTTACTTGCTTTTCTCTTTACATTTCCTGTCGAACCTTTACCTTAAAGCCTTGTTTATTTTACCAAGTCTTTCCTTTATGCAATTTACTTGAAACCTTTTATTTAAAGCCTTATCCAACTTAATCAAACTTCAAAATCAACCTATGTCCATAGGATCAATCTGATCGATCCTGCGAGTAACCAAATAAGTAACCATTTGGAGGATCAGCGGTTGTTTACCAAAACCCAAGGTAAACAGATGTGCCACCTTAATACATTTAATACTAAATTAATATAAAAAATTTTAATAGTTAAAAAATCAATTTTAATTTTATAATTAGTCCAATTAAAACTTTTAATCAAAAAGATTATATTGTAATATATTAATACTTTAAAATTTATATATTTATATTAAAAATAGATAAAATATACAGACTTTTCTAATAAACAAAAAAAAATCATATTTCTTAAAAGAAACTTTGAACGCAATTCACGTGAGTAGCACGCAAAGTTGAATTCTTCTATGGGCAGCTCATCAATCCTGTATTTTGTATACACACCAAACCGCCATGACAACACTATTTTACAAAATTGTCTCTCTTTATTATTATTTTAAACGTGACAGATAATACATATACCACACCTAATATTCACGTCATTAAATCTACACCGTCGACCCATGTAATCTCAGCCGTCCATTCAACAAAAATTCTTTATAAAAGATAGCTTTGAGAAACCTAAATATTATCGTTCAACAGATCTAGAGTTTCACCTTTCTTTCATCCCCTCTTATTCTTCAATTTCAGATCTCCTTAGTAACTTCCTCTTTTAGCTTCGACCGGTTCCCCGGTACCTTGATCTGTTAAGATCTGATGGATATCCATACGCCGGTGTTTGATTCGTTCAGGTATGATTCTCTTTCCATCGAATTTTATTGTTTCCTTAGTTTTTTTTATTATCGTTAATTGGTATTTATTTCAGAGATGCGATCTTCACGATTGTCTTGGTGTTTGGAATACATTCCTTAACCTAAAACAGTCCTCGACATATTTTTTCAGGTATGGTGGTGGAAGATCGATGAAGAGATCTTAGATCCGAATTATGCTGATTCTATCTTGGTCACCGTAATGGATGCACCAGGTTTTGAATTCTAGAAGCTGCTATGATCCATGGCTCCAATGATGTTTTCCATACATGTAGAACATCTCTGTACTTGTAATTCTGTACTATTTGATTGGGAACTTTGCAGGGGTTGTTCTATGGATGTAGGGTGTTTCAGGATTACAAATCTCGATTCGCTGAGCGTTTTGAGTATTAAATCTTGATTGATCTTGTCATCCGACCTTTGCCATGTCAGGTGCGCTTGCTTGGCAGGTCAACAAAATAATAAAACAAGATTTATTGGTTCTTGGGAGAGATCGCATGGGGTTTTTGCCCAGGATCTCTCCTTTGTGTGGTGGCTGCCGCCTTTTTTTTCTTTTTTTTTTGTTCGTTTTATTGCTTCGCCCTCTGTTTTCTTCCTTCTACGACTCTGCACGTGACTAATTCATAGAAGGATTCTCTTGGACTCCATAACTAATCTCATATCGAGGTAGTATCTATCCAATTTCAATCTTAATTGATGCACATATCCAATTGCATGCATATATCCAATTGCACTCAAATTTCTTATCAGTGCACATATCGTGGTACTTGTAAATTAATCCAAGTTAACTCAATCAATGCATATTGCACTCATAGCACTTCTCACTATTTATATCAAGATAAATATTATTTTGAAAAATTAGTACTTTCACAATGCTTTATATTCAATTATGCAGAATATGCTCGGTTGTATATGTCTCTTATGATTAATACAAATTTTATTTCATTTATGTTTTTTTTGGTGTGTTATATATAATTCTGTATTTGGAGTAAAGTTAACTATTTCACGCATCTGTTAGGTCCATATATAGCTTGTTTCGACCGAAGGGAATATTACGTACTTCAAAAACATGGACATTAAGACAATTGAAACAGTAACAATTCTTTGCTATTGTTTATTTAGTTTTGGCTCAGCTAATGTATCTACATCAAAATATCCCCGAGTTTTATTTACCACTTGATGGCTTTGTATGTTTACTTTTGGCTCAGCTAAATCTACATCAATGTATCCCCAAGTTTTATTTGCCACTTTCAATTGGAAGGATTTGTATATTTAGATTTGGCTCAGCTTTCAACGATGTGTCCAAGTTTCATTTACCACTTTCAAGTTGAAGGAAGTTGAAGGATTTGTATGTTTAGTTTTTCTCATCCAATGTATCTCCACTTCAATGTATCTCCACTTCAATGTATCCCCTAAGTTTCATCTACCACTTTCAAGTTGAAGGATAATTTGAATATTGAATTAATCAAAAGGGATATATTGAACGGCAGAGCATGAGAGTATCATACCTTCTAAGATTCCCAAGTGCCTCGAGGTATAGCTGTTGTTTCACATATCTTCCAACATTGGCAAATGATATTAAATAGTTCTTACGTTTTTAATTGATATGCACGATTTTAGACTAAATCAAATTTAAAATATCACATATGTATAGTTGTTACCATTGCAATTTGTTACAATCATATTCTTTTATGTAAAACCCTTGGAAAGGAATGTCAAGATGTCAAGTGCGAGGATGAAGTTTTGGAAAGAAAGGGTTTGCAAATATTTCCCTATGAAGTGCTAGGAAAGAAGAGGTTTGCAAATATTTCCACGTCAGGAATATCGAGATGACAATGAAGCTCTGGAAAGGGTTTGCAACTATTTCCCCGTGAGGAACATCGAGATGACAAGAGTGAAGATGAAGTTCTGGAAAGGAAGAGATTTGCAAATATTCCCCGTTGCCGCATGTTTCGGTAAACCTCTTCCTTTCTAGTGCAACATCTCTTTTCATCTTGGCGTTTGATCTTACTTCATCTCAGGTGTTTGACTCATTTACGTGCTTGCGCTTGTCATCTCGGCTTATTATTTAATTTAGAAATATAGAGCGGTTTTTAAGTGAGTTTATTAAAGATATATTCAATATTGAAAAATTTCTTTTTACATTAACGCTAGTTTTAAAATTTTAATATTATTACTCTTTTAATTCTGGTATCTTTTATATTATTGTTTCTTAGAAATAGTAATGTTTCTTGAAAATATAATTTCGTCGTTAATATAGGAAATTAGATTATGAAGTCTTTATAAATGTTATAATTATGATATTCTTTATTAAACATTATATTTTGAAGCCAGGAAATCTATAAAATTTTTGTCACTCACCCCTCTTTTGAAAATATTTTGATGACATTATGATATCCTTAAAATTAAAATATATTTTAAATTGTTAAATCTACAATATTTTTTATATTTATATGATATTTCATTTCAAATTGAAATTATAAATATTTTAAGTAGTTTCAATTTTATTGCAAGTTTTTGAAAACCAACGAGAAAAGGATTTGAAAATTTGAATTATTTTATTTCATTATATATTAATTTTTTAAAATAATTTTTACAGTTTTATATGAATTTATTCCTATTTGATGGTTTTGGTGTTTTTTAAAATATTTGTTAAATGTTGACTTTACTAGTATTTATCCCTCAAGCTCCACCATTTGTACCACCACAATTTATTCTCAAGGAGGAAAATAAGTTGGATTGAGTTTGGTTAGCTTAAGTCTGGTTTGTTAAAATAATTGAAGTTTGAGTTTGATTGTTTCTAAGTTTTGGTTAATCTGTTAGTCTATAAGTCTATTATTTTAGACATATATATAAATATGTTTAATGTGATTAAAAATTTGATTGCATTGATTTCTGTTAACTTATCAATTATCATAAATTTTGTGATATTATTTATTTAAGAGGATTTATGAAAATAATTTATAATATTATTAAAAGGTATTTTTATTTTATTTATAGATAATCAAGTTTTATTTATGTATTTTGATTTAAAGTACAAATATAATATAATTATAATAAAAAAAATTATATATTTATTTATATAATTAATTTGTTAGGCCTATAATGTTAGGTTAGGTTAGGCTGTATGTTTTTGTTAACAATCATATATATATATATATATATATATATATATATATATATATATATATATATATTCTAAGTTAACGCTATAAAATTTTCTTAATGTTATTAGTTTAATTTTCATTTCAGCATTATATTCAAAAGTAAAATCCTGGAAAAAAACGAAAAGGTAATTATGGTAATGATGATTAATTAATATTTTTATAGATACTACTAGTCCACTTTAATATTGAGTACAGCTGTAATTAATTGACCACCTGTACTTTTTTTTTTGAAGTATACCTATTTTTTAAAACACTGGCAATTCATTTTAGTTAAAATCATATTTAGTAATTGTTTTCTTCATATTATTGCTTTTATATAAAGTACACTAGTCTGTTAAAATAATAGTAGTGAATAATTTCTATTTTTTTTGGTATGATATGGTATATAATTGCTTATCGTTCTTTTTATTCGTTCATTAATTGCAAAATTCAAATATTTTAATAGAAATAATAAAAAATTAGGGTATGTTAGACATATTTTCATTCTTGGAAATTGTAAATCCATACTCATTTCCACAATGTACTAAGAGCATAAATATCGTTGTGGCTTATGTCTATGTGTACTACTGTAGTCAGAGTAGTATTGATAATAGAAGACAAATGATAGTAGTATTAATTGGCACCGTATCCAAAAAAGGGATCGTAGCTTTTAATAAATATATTACCTTGTAGCATGTATAGCTGTTGGATTAAATTTTCAAATAACATGTTACTGTTGGATTAATTTTGTGGGACCCATGTTAGAGTTTTAAGTAAGTAGTATGGATATTTAGAAAATATAATTAAGTGGTTTAAATAATTGAGAAGTGTAAAGTAATATATTATATTAGATGGGACCCACTTATACTATTAATATGAGTAGTATGGATGTGAATGCTCTAAGAGGTTAAATAATCATCAACGTGGATTTTATTTGTATATTCTAACTTCGTTTAATACCCATTAAAGCTTCATTAAAATTGCAAAGTATCTATGCAAAATAGACCAGGTGAATGAATTCACCCAGGTTCTTTTAAAATGTACCAGGATCTAAAAAAATATTTGGTGGTTCGGTACGAAGAAGGGATATTGTATATATGTGATAAGATATTTGATTTGACAACAATTGAAGATTGAGCACCAGAGACCGAGTGGTATGCTACAACCATTGGAAATTCTCGAGTGAAAATGGAAAAGTATTCAATGGATTTCATCGTCGTTTTACCTCGTACTATTGTCGACCATGATTTGGCATGGGTTATTGTAGACAGATTAACCAAGTCAGCCCATTTCTAACCCGTCAAGACTACCTCCTATAAGGTCACCCACTTGGAAAGATCATCATGTGGTGGGAACGAATTTGAATCTGAGTACAAAAAATTATCTGCAGTCAGATGGCTAGACTGAGAGAACCATTCAAACTGTCGAGGATATGTTGAGGGAATGCATCATGGAAAATGGGGGAAATTGGAAGGACTACTTGCCAATGATAGAGTTTTTTTGTTGGGTGGAAGTCGACGATTGGGGGATTTTTATACTTGAGATAATCCAAGAAACTATAGACAATATCAAGATGATCCAGGAGTAAATGAAGAAGGCCTAAGACCTCCAGAAAAACTACACGGATCAGTGAATAAGGATGTTGGAGTTCAAAGAGGGATATCACATTTTCTTAAAGATCACCTCAAAGTGGAAGCTAAAAGGACAATTCAAGACAAGGAAGTTGAGTCTGAGATATGTTGAACCATATCAAATTATGAGACATGTAAGTGAAGTGGAATACTAGTAAGCGTTGTCGCCTTCCTTATTTGGGCTTCAAGATGTATTATATATATCGCAACTCTAGAAATTTTTTCGAGATTTACTTTATCTTATCCTTTCAGATAAGGTAATGTAGAGCGGATTATAATTAATAATTTAATAATTAATTAATAATTAATTAATGTTTATTACAAAAAATTCACTTTGTAGGTTGTACGAAAACCACACATTTAACAACTAAAAATTATAACTCCTATATCCACAATACTTTGTATTCACTTGTAGGTATATAACATTTATAGTTTTAGTTATTGTCACAAAAGACCTACGTTAGTATACTTTTGAGAAAATGCAACTAACACCACATGCCACATATTAATTAGAGTGATCATTATACCAATCTTATAGGAAACCCCATATGAGTTACTCAAAAGTAGAAAATCAATTATTTTTTATTTTTGCATTTTTCAGCAGCAAATGTTTTATTTTAAACAATTGGAAAGACAATCTAAACAAGTTTGATGCTAACCCTAATGATGGAATATATTTAAGGTTTTGTCATCTAGTAAGGCTTATATGGGGTTTAACCATAGAACATTCGTTGTTAAAGAGCCTATTTAAGTTGCTTTTGATGAAATCAAATCTCATAAGATATGGAAAGGTAGTTATAATTTTGATGTTTCAAGTGTATTAACAAAAGATTTGATAAATGATGATGATCAAAAGGATTTATGGGTTGCGTAAGCCTTTTTGGCAGTAGGGATATCTCCCACAAGATGCTCAGGGAGGGATATTATTGGCCTACCCAGTTGAAGAATAGTTACACATTTGTCAAGATGTGCGACAAGTGTCAGAGACACATTGATCTTCACACCTCCGACTAAACTTCTTCATTCACGCCGCCCTAGCCTTTCTATTAGTAGGGGTGGACATCTTAGGCCCGTTCCCATGGCGTCAGGCCAACTAAAACTCTTGATTGTGGGAGAATATTACTTTACATAGTGGATAGAGACGTAGGTTGCCGCCAAAATCATAGTAGAGAGTCCACTGTTTCTACTGAAAGAAGATTATTTGTAAGTTCAGACTACCTGGAATCATCGTCTTCGACAAAGGAACTCAATTCGTCAACACTACAATCACCAACTTTTATCGAGAATTAGGAGTTCAAACAAAGTTTGTATCTGTTGTTCACTCGCAAGTCAATGGACACGGTAATCTTGAAGGGACTGAAGAAGAAACTTGACGACGCCAAAGGTTTATGGGCAGAACAAAGGTTGTTAAAATCACAATTTAAAACCTAAACTCTAAATTTCACATTTCATGTTTTCGCATTTAGTGTTAAATCACAGGTGAAAACTTTTTTATTTAAAATTGTATTCTAGGATACTTTTAAAAGTTAAATCACTCTGAAATTGTTGAAATCATGTAAAATTGTTTAGCATCGTTGAGTTTTAATCTTTGTTTCGATTTTACCTTTTTTGGTCAACATTTAAAAAGCACGTTTACTAGTTTACCCCATGAAAACTTCTCGCACGCTTTTTAATTCTATTCACATTCATATATTAGTTATAATATTGAAGAATCTTTATCATTTAGAGATGAATTTAATCAAGTTGAATATGAATACACTAATGAAGATGATGTTGTAGGAGAATTGAACTTTTGATTAAGTTGAAGATGAAAACACTTATTTTTTATAACTTGAAAAGTTTATGAAACTCTTGTTTTTTGGAATAATCTTTTGGATATTACTTTTTATGATTTGGTGGAGAATTTATGTAGTTTGATACAAGTTTGTAAATATTACACTTTAATATAACGATATAGTATATTTTTACTTTATAATTAAGTTAAAATTTTAAATTATTGATGTATTTATAAGTATATATGTAGTTTGATACAAGTGTGTGTCTGTGTGTGCGTGTGCGTGTGCGATATGAGGTAAACTCTATGATTTTACGCTTCAATTTTACCTAGGCAAAATGAGTTAAGGTAAAAACTCGATTATGACAACTTAGTTCATGAAATATTTTGATCATATCGTACCACTCATCATTTTATGGACATCATAACATCTACTCCGTACACTACACCCCCACTCTCCTCTATTTGAGTGAGTCTATCGGCTGTAACATCTCTATATTTTTATATACACTACATTTATTCTATTTCCAAATTTTATTATTTATTCAATAATTTGTTTCATGTATGAAGTGATTTTTAATTAATTATATAGGTCTTCATGTTTTTAATTATTTATTTTATATTTTGATAAGTTAATAATATTGTAATCAATCTTGATTAATTATATACTCACTATGTTATGTTAATTTAATATATATTTATTAAATTTTATAATTAATACAAAGTGTTAATATTATATAAGTTATTTTAATATTTTAATAGTTTTATAAATACAATAGGATTTAATATAACTATTTTAATAAATAATATTTTAATTATAAGTGGATAATAAAAATAAATGAAAGTGTGTAATTTAACTGGAATAAATGTTAGAAATAAAAGAAAGTGATTTAGTAAATACATGATGAAGTTCGTGAATCAATTACCTTACACATAAATAAAATAAAGTAAAATAAATTCATTTTTCATCAAAATGAATTAGTGGTGCTACAGGGAAAACCTATACACAATAACTCTTTCAGTAACTCCTTAGTTGGTTAATTTAGAGGAAAAAAAATTTTCACTTCCAGAATCATATCAATATCAGTTGTGCATAAAAGTTTCTCTTTTTTTTTTTAAATTTCAATATGTTATTTCTATTAATTATTAGTTATTAGGTTAAATATTTATTTTTATTTTATTTTTTATATATCTTTAATTCGTTTGAGAAATCATTTTCTCATTTGATTAATATCACTATTTTGTGCGTATCTTTTTTGCTGTAACTATGATTTGCACGAAACTAACGTCAAAATGATCGACTGAACATAAGCGATATTCCCATCAAATTTGGATTCTGTTTTGATGTAATTTTCTTTTATCTAATTTCAAAATTGACATTTTTAATGTATTTTAATAATATACTCGTATTTTTTATTTTTAATTCCTTACTTAGTTTTATTCTGTATGGTTGTGGATTATGAAAGTTCAATAAATTTTAATATGTAAAGTGAATATGGTGTGATGTTACACGTGATCATGTGGAGAAAATTGGATAGTTAACAAACCTATTTGTTTTGCTTTAAATTACATATCTTTCTAAATTTGTAATTATAATTTTGTATTAAAAGTAAACTGTATCATTTTTTAAAAGTAAATATAATTTTTTTAAGTAATGTCTTGAATTGAAATATGGGGCATTACAACGATGGCCTGAGAGTTTTGTTGTTGGATGGTTGAGGACAAGTTATTTCCTTAAAGTGGTCGATGCAATTATGTGCGTACATCGACTGCTTTACCAAAGCCATGGTAGTTAAGTGCGGAACCGATGAAAATACATATAGTTTCTTTCTTGCCCTGACATACTCCACTAAGGATGGCCATACTCACCGATTGTCTCATTCTTGTGGCGAAATGCATCGTAAACGTCTTACAAAACTCTGACCATGAGTATATGTTTCCATTAGGAAGAGTTTTGCATTGTTCTCAAGAAGATTATGTTAGAGTGACTGTGAAAAAATTTCATTTAATATATATGTATGCATGGTAGTAGTCCAAACAACCATCCATATGTCAGACATGTTCTTCAGGATCTCATTCTCCATTCTAATCTTGTAGTTTATGTGGTTTTTCAGATGGAGTGTGGAATCCTTCCATCCAGGATACGAGCGCTTCGAGGATACTTTTTCTTAGGTGGTGTTGAGGTGGCTTCCTCCTTCTCTTATTTTTTGGCCAACTTGCATCATTTAGGGGGAGTGTGAATATTATTCCTCTCCTCATAGTCGTGTGAAGGATTACATTATATGCATTCCCATGGTGAAGAAATTTTTGGGATTCTTCATGTCTTCTCCTTGATTCTGCGACCTTCTATGAAGTCGCTTCTTGGATGATGTTATCTCTTGGCATAATATTTTATAGTCTCTCCTCTATCTAAGTTAGTCTATCAGCGATGGTCTGAGAGTTTTGTTGTTGGATCATTTTGAAAATATCGTTCAATAACTCGTGAGAGGCTTTGGGCCCTAAATTGGCTTCTAGAAGTTGGAAACTAGGAAGTGCCGCAAGTTTTTTTGTTGCACGAGGTGCTTATGGTTGAATGAAAGGTTCTCCTACAAGGAATGGATGAGGATTAGCTACAAACAAAGGAGATTGTGGGAGCACTTTGGACAATTCTGGTTGTGCTAGATTATATTGTTGTGGAGGAGGAGTACGTAATGGATGATTTTATGCAGTGTATATGGCTTTGGCAGACAATAGATGGGTGGTGGAAGGGGTAACCTTTGACGGTGCCATTGCGTGACAACTCTGGTGAAACAAAATTTGGTTGAAAATTCAATAAGATTGATTAAGATTTTGATTAATGCAAATATAGGTATGAGTGTCATCTAGTTCTCGCACACAACATTGACACTATGGGAATCGACACTACAATCCTAAGATTACCACGATTCCTTGATTTCTATAGGGGTGTCAAAGGCATTTGTAGGTTTATAACAATTTGTGATGGTTAAGGCTTGCCCACGGTTGTGAGAAGCTCTGTATGGTTGTTTTACAGTGGCTTTAGAGGATTTGCTCACGTGAGGTGAGAGAACATGTATATCGACATAATGTTTAGATATAAGTGTGTTAGTTATCTCCCCTCTTTATCGTGATAAAGGAGAGTTATTTATAAAGTCCCTTGAGCCTAGGGTTTACTTTACAACTATGGACTCTAATGTGGTGATGCATAAACCGCGACATGAGCCTCCAGGGATGGAGTGAAAGGAAGATGTGATGAGTTGTTTCCGAAGTACTAGAATGAGAGTCACTTTCTGATGGAGAACATGTGTACGTATATAAGGAAGAGGACATATCTAATGAGGCTATGTAATAGAATAAATGGTTGATGAGTTTTATTAGCGGTCTGAGATATTTCGAAGAAGCTACCCCATGGAAGAGGCTGAGAAGAAACACTTGCAGCAGTTCATTGATGTCTGACTTCAGATAGAGGCCCGTTCTCGTTCTTGGGAAGACGAAAAAATCATCTAAGTTTTAGGTATATATACAAAATATGTTTCTATTATTGATAATATTTTAACTTTAATGCTTAATGGCGAAGAAACTATATTTGTGGATGGAGAAGAAAAAATATTGAAATTTTATACCAAAATACAATTTGAATATGATAAATAAAACTAATATTGAGTTTATTTATTTAATAGTAATGTCAGTTTATATATACAATATGTGGTTCAATTGATAAGCGTAAATTGTAGCTATTTTTGTATACGCTTTTCGTTATACTTATCGACTTTTTGTTGTTAATATCTGATCTGACCTGATCAGAAGGTTTGGACCGTCACGGCTGCTCCGAGCTGAAGGCTTTTTGAACGAGGAGGGGGGGGGGTACCTGCAAGGCACTCCGATGCTTAAGTCAGTGGGAGTACTAGCAGATAATAGAGTTGAGGTTAGAATTGATGATTACCTGACCCTCTGGAAGCAGAGGGTATTTATAGCCCCCAGCGCTGGGCCAAGGTTCCTTCACTGGGCCGGGCGGATTTGGCCCAATGGAGGAACTGCCAGGTCCTACGTGGG